TATTGAGAAAGAATAAACTAGTTTTACTTAAGAAAGGACTTGTATCGCTAAAGTTTCATTTTAAGAAATTATACCGGAAATTAACAAACGAGCAGAGACGTAAAAATATATAATATTCAAGCACTACAACAGATGTTGTCACAAGTCCAGAAGGACTGCTTTTTTGTTCCTATCACATACCTCCCTTATCATATATAATATTCAAATACTTGTATTTCAGAAAAGCATTACAACTTTTATTTAATTTTTTTAAAGTATGTCTATGTTTATCTGTGTATATATAACAAAATAGACTAAAGCAATTGAATGAGTGAAAACAAAAAAAACAAAACAAATACAACCTAACTAGATATTAAAAAACTTGTGAATAATAATTAAATGAGCAGAAAATAAAAGAAGAAATACTTTAAGTATAGAAACAGTTTATTTCATTTACCCGAAAGTGTTAAATTAGAGAAGTCTCTTTCCATAATTTTTCCAGAGGCTTGGAAAAATTCACAGAAGTCTGCAGTGGTGGGTGGTAGGGAGTTTGACTCCAGTGTGAAACTTACTGGACTCTGAAGACACGAAGAGGTGGTACTTGAGGAAGAATTTGGTGTACCAACTTCATGGTACCTTAAGATAAAAACACGTTATATTCCTTCATCTCTTATTCCATGTATTTGGGCTAAACAAAATTAAACATTTAATTTTTCATATTTCTCAATTAGAAAAGCAGACCAAGTATTACTAGTGACCCATCACAATCATCAGAATGATGTTTTTTGTTTCCAGTAAAAGAAACTTTATTATTAAAAAAAACACAAATCTGTTCTACATATCTTAATTTCTCACATAGAAAAACTTTATAAACGATCAAATAACATCTAGCATAAAAATTCTTGTTTCTACTGTCAATAATACACATATGCTATTTCTTCCTTATAAAATAATATGCATCTGTAACCTAGATCTTGTCAGTCATAACTGAAACAAACTTATATACAAATGTTATAGTTTTCCTATACTGGAAATGTATTTCTGATAGGTACTTACTTCCGCTCATATATATAGCTATTCTCGTTCAGTGCTGCCCTCTATTTTTTCGCATACCACAAGCATTTCACTCCCACGCACACCTGGATTCACATGGTTTAACTGACTCTCACATGCAAAGTATCATGCAATAAACATCCACCAATAGTAGTGCCACACACCCACATGATTTATGTGACTCCCTCTATGCTATTCTACCTAACTATCACTTCGAGTTTAGGCAAAAATGTAAGCACCGATTTACAGTGGGGAGGAAAGGTCGGAAGTGTGAGAGAAAGTAAGTACTCATTGGGAATACGTTTTCAGTGTAGGAAAATTATAACTTCTCACAAGGTACCTTACTTCTCCTCACATACATAGCTAGAATCCCACATTGAGTAGGTGGAGGGACCAGTGTGAGAGAGAAAGTAGAAGCATCCAAAGGACACCCTAATGAGGGAACCCTCTAACAAGAGACCACACCACTTCTGTACTAGGTATACTCTTTGGCCAGATGTTGAAAAGGTGTGACAGATCCAGGCAGAAAATTGTGAGGAGAACATCCTAATGAGAAAATGGTAGGACAGTGACCCTAACCACAGTATATTATAATTCCAATCTTCCTGATGAACAAAATGTGGGTAAAATAAGGGATGTGTCCCAAGGTGTAGAGTGGCTAGGGCATGACAAACCATAGATGGCAAGTGAACTGCATCCAAAATTCGACCTCCTGGAACTGACATCCACGTGGGGGTAGGACGAGGATCATACCTTCTTCACCTCATGTTCAGCCAACTGGAGGGAGAAATCCCACCAACAACAACACTGGGATAATGCACTCGAGGTGAATTGAGTGAGGAACCATGGACACCCTGAACACATGTGTGAGAACTTATGTTGATTGGTTCAGCTCTATGTCCAAAACTCAACTGCTGGGAATCGACATCCATGTGAGGGTAGGATGAGGGATCTCAATCGAAGGGGTGAACTGTATTTATGATAGCACACTAAATGTGTGAGTACATCATGTCAATTGGTTCAGCTCTAAATCCAAAACTCAACCACTTGGAACTGACATTCGTGCAGGAATATGATGAGGAATCCCAGTCGCACGACATATGTGAGGACATATGGTGATTGGTTCAGCTCTAAGTCCAAAACTCAACTGCAGAGAACCGACATCCATGTTGGTGTAGGATGAGGGATCCCAATTGCATTACATGTGTGAGGGCATGATATTAATTGGTTCAGCTCTAAATTCAAAACTCAACTACCAGGAACTGACTTCCATGTGGTAGGATGAGGGATCCCAATTACACTACATGTGTGAGGGCATGATATTGACTGGTTCAGCTCTAAATCCAAAACTAAACTACCAGGAACTGACTTCCATGTGGTAGGATGAGGGATCCCAATTACACTACATGTTTGAGGGCATGATATTAATTGGTTCAGCTCTAAATCCAAAACTAAACTACCAGGAACTGACTTCCATGTGGTAGGATGAGGGATTCCAATCATTATGACAGTGCACTCCAAAGCTACAACATACTCTCGGACAAACCCATACAGAGATGGAGCATCTATTTGGAGGACATTTCATCATCTACACCAGTAGAACAACACTCAACTGAATGGATACTTTATTGTTTATATTGTATAGCTCTCATTCAGGAGGATACTTCCATGGTCCACCACCCCAGCAGCTTGGAACTGAAAAGTGGAAGGACTCTCTTACTCCACTGGAAAAAACATGGAGGGAGGGCAAATGTGGTGAAGAATCCAGAGAAACATCCACACCAGAGACAGTGCAACGGGTGACCATGAAACCCTATTTTGAAAAGCAAACCAAACCCGATTTATTCAATCTAAGGAATGGGCAGCAATCCCCTTCTGCTTTACCCATGAAGTCCATGGGTTAGTATGGTCGAGAATTGACATATTTATGAAGCAAAGATATCGTGAGGAATAATCCACAAGCAATCTTGTGGGACAGCCATCTCTAGTTTATGTGATCGTAATGAACAGTGAGCATTTTGAGGCCTTGGAAATTATGAAAGTGAAGTCAACATGGCCGTACACTGTGGGTTTTAGTACAGTTCTATGCTATTGAAGTATGCCTGGACAGGCATCAATCGCCACAGTGTGGGATCCTAGTCAAAACATGGAACAGGCCCCTGAACATAATATATATATATATAACAAAATATAGAAAATTTATCCAGTTATAGTCTCACTGAAGAATGAAATATGGCAACAAAGGTAAGATAGTAGACAGCTGAAGAAAAACATCTACCCAAAGCAGGTAATGAAGGATGAACATATGAGGTGTAGTTACAGTGCTCGACATTGGGAGTTCCTCCAATGGACGATGGGGTTGAGATGCAGGTAAAAGGTAAGGTGCCTAAACAGAGTGAGGACACCAGGAATTGATTATGTGAAGAAGTAGACAAGGAATAAAAGGCCAATCGAATCACAAGACGAACCCAATGGGGAAGAATGGAAGGGAAAAGTCATGAACAGAGCAGTGGTGTAAGGGAAAGAAACGCCAGGAAATGGAGTCAATGGAAAGAAGCTTTAAGAGCAATGAAGCAACCCAGAGCATTCACGGGACAGAGAAGGTCATTTAGATCCAACCAAGAATAAAGAGTAAAGATGGAAAGAAACGAAAACAACGAAAAGAATATTCCACATAAGACCCCATAGTGTAGGTTAGTAAAATCACTCCAGAACAAAAAGAACATATTAAGCCAAAACAGCTGAGAAAACCAGATCTGTACTGGCCAGGAAGGATCAGTTAATAACACCTGGCCCAGAGTGACATGGATGATCAAAATAACCTTGGTAAGAAGAGTGACAAAATGAGAAAAACTAAAATTATAAACTTGATCTCATCCTGTCTGAACGTATCGACAGCCAGGGCGAGTGGATGATCAACTGGAGATCAAAATCAAAAGAAGTAACTTGGAATTGAGAAAGGGGTCAAATGTTTCCTGTGGAGGAGTACCCCAGAGGAGGCAGAGCCACCAAAATTTTGAGGATCGAGAGGCTACTCCTTGGGAGAAAATGTCAGGGCTGGAAAAGCAATCTGCAATGGGGAATAAATCCTTGGGAACATGATACGCCAGGAGATGTATGTCAAGTGTGTGGGTTCAAAAATGGAGATCTACTGTACCACAAAGGTACATGAACAAGTGCCTCCTAGGCATATGATATAAGCCACTATAATGTCGGAATGAAACATTATTAGTCAAATACAGACAAGAGGAAGAAAGTGAACTAAAGCACGTTGGCCTGCTGAAATGCCAGGGTGTTAAAATGGTAAGACCTTTCGTCCTGAAGCTTCCTGCAGATCGACCCATGTCCCCAACATGGGGAGATATATTCAACCACCAATGCATATAGTTGAAGAGGGAAGGAGGAAAGTTAAGAGGAGAATCCAAAGCAATCCTAGCAAGAGACAATGGGTTATGCAGCATCTTTCGGAAATATTGCAACTGTGTCAGACCTAAAGGCAGAAGTGCTTCCATAGAAGCCACATCCCCAATGTGTTAGAACCTCGCTAGCTGTAAGATAGTGAACCGTAATGGAGTGAATAACAGGAAGCTCCATCAAATGCATTCGAGGAGGAGAATAGATGGTCCCAAAGGAGGTGGGGATTAAAAAGACACTCCCCAAATAGACGAGGTTGTTGGGTATGTAACAGGAAACTAATCTAACTGTAAATCCAACCACCTGAGCTGCTTGTGTAAGAAGGTACGAAAATGGTACTGAATCATGTGGTGAAAAACCTAAGATAGCATCCCAAGAAATGAAAGATAAGAATATTTTCCATGAGCATTTCTCAGTCCTGCAGAAATTGCCCACCCAATTGTGATCAAAGACTACATATTAAAACATGGAAGAACCAAGAAGTGATTGAGGCAGGACTGATCAATCTCGAACTCCAATCAGCATCAAGCATACACGATGAATAGAGAAACCAGTAGGTGGGGCAGATAAAGGACAGGAAGATGCTAGGCATGGAAAATGCATTAAAATGACAATGACTCAGAATGCAACAAAAAAGCAACCAAAAAATAGAATATAGCATTACAGATACCCCAGATGATGCTAAATGCACAGTAGTAGCCCCAAAAAACGGACTAGTGAAGGAAACGAGCCTACCATAAGTCCCTGCTAAAAGTGGGTGGAAAACAAATGATACAAGACAGTGTATCACTCCAGAAGATCCCAAAAGCAAAGAAGCTATGTGTGGAGGGAAAGAACTGAAGATGGTAAATGCCCCAACACGGAGAGAAGGAGGAAGAGGTATTCCATGAAAATCCCCTAAATATAGGTGGAATGCCTAAGAAAGGAGGTGTACGGTAGACATTTCCTGCAGGCAGGGGTCGATTGGGTAAGACAAAGTTGGAAAACTAGGTGGATCGATAAAATGGATAGGATTAACAGAGGCTGCCACCATACAGGTGACAGAGATTCTAAGTACATAGAATCAAAAAGAAAATCTGCTTGATGGTAAGCTAAGGCAATCTGAACCAAAGCCCGAGAAAGGCAAGGCATGCAAGTACCTTCTCTCAAAAGAGAGAAAAAATCTGATCATGAAACATTGTTTGGAGAAAGAGGAGGAAAATATATTGTGAAACGTGTTTAAAAAAGCTGAGGTAGGTTTGTGTTTTTTTTTTCTAGGAAAACCACATTGAGCTATCTGCTGTGTTCACCAAGGGGAATTGAACCTCTGATTTTAGAGTTGTAAATTCGTAGACTTACTGCTGACCCACCAGGGGATGGCTGAGGTAGGCCGAGCAGATTCCACAGATATTTAACCTAAATGTCGATTTACCCATAACATGAACTACAGGTAAACCGAAAATAACAGACACTTGTTAAGCCTAATCAAACTGTGCAAAATCAAAAAAGCCCAATCAAAAATACGCATTGCAGGTAGGGGAAATATTCTTACCTGTAATTATGGTCACTAAATTCAAAACTGAACTCTTCACTCATCAGTGGAGGTTGGGGTTCCTTGACTGAGCATAGTTCCAGTGAAGGTTTATCTTGAGTTGAAATGTTGTTAGAGATTCTTCCATCCGCTGGTTGCAGATTTGCTTTATTTTTAACATTCATCAAGTCTGAAAGTTCCCCAGAAGATGCTTTAATACGATCAGGTATAGCTGCAATGATTTTCTCAGCCAAGCTTAGAACTTGGTTTTCTGTATCAGCCATGTTAAGATCACAACTCCTACAACTCTGTGGACGACTGGAGAATAAGCTGCCTATTGTAAACCAAGACAATAATTATGATAATGTTTGTTAACGTGATGATATATATATCTAACTTTATACTTAATGTGATGATATATATATCTAACCTTATACTTAATGTGATGATATATATATCTAACTTTATACTTAATGTGATGATATATATATATCTAACCTTATACTTAATGTGATGATATATATATCTAACTTTATACTTAATGTGATGATATATATAATCACATTAAGTATAAAGTTAGAGATATATATATCTAACTTTATACTTAACGTGATGATATATATCTAACTTTATACTTAACGTGATGATATATATATCTAACTTTATACTTAATGTGATGATATATATATCTAACTTTATACTTAATGTGATTATATATATATCTAACTTTATACTTAACGTGATATATATCTAACTTTATACATAATGTGATGATATATATATCTAACTTTATACTTAATGCGATGATATATATATCTAACTTTATACTTAACGTGATGATATATATATCTAACTTTATACTTAATGCGATGATATATATAACTTTATACTTAATGTGATGATATACATATTTAACTTTATATTTAATGTGATGACATACATATCTAACTTTATACTTAATGTGATGATATACATATTTAACTTTATATTTAATGTGATGATATATATATTTATAACTTCATACTTTCTATTGAAAGTAAGCTAACTATATACAGAGAAAAAATAAGAAGGAATATAAGATTAATAAACCATATAGACTAGATCAAATAGTAATTAAATGTCATAAAGCAGTACAAAAGCCTATAATGGTTCATAAAGCAGTACAAAAGCCTATAATGGTTCATAAAGCAGTACCAAGGCCTATAATGGTTCATAAAGCAGTACCAAAGTCTATAATGGTTCATAAAGCAGTACCAAAGTCTATAATGGTTCATAAAGCAGTACCAAAGCCGATAATGGTTCATAAAGCAGTACCAAAGCCTAAAATGGTTCATAAAGCAGTACCAAGGCCTATAATGGTTCATAAAGCAGTAACAAAGTCTATAATGGTTCATAAAGCAGTACCTAAGCCTAAAAAGATTAGACTGAACTGAATTATAACTTTGATACTCTCATTGT